CATAGGCAACTGAAATTCCTAGGTCATATAATCCGTAAAGGTTGCTTAGAACATCTGGTATTAAGTGGAAAAATCAATGGGAAGAAAGACAGAGGTCGACCAAGAATCAAGTACCTCGAAAACATGAACCTATGGATTACAAAACAAGGATACGAAAAAACAGACTTCCTTCACGCAGCACAAGACCGGAACAAGTGGCGCATCATGTTAGCCAACGTCTGCAACAGATAAGGCACCTATCTGATCTGATTATTTTCTAAAATATTCTACTTCATAATGAATCTATTTCTTTTGAACAGTTTTAAGAACCATCAAAAGTTCAAACTAATCGTACAAATAAGTATGTTTCACATATATGTTTTTGAGTCTCAGAATATTTCTATATAATTTAGGGCATTATATTATCAATATCACTAACAAAGAATTTCAACTTTTTCTTCCAGTATCCTTTTTTCAGTATGTCATTTCCACCAAATGTATTGAAACGCATACACCTTCAAGATTTATCGTCTTGTTATTAATGATAGAAGGAATATCTTCCAAATGTTATTTTTATTATGATACAACAAATAATACAAAACAACATCAAAACTTAGAACACTAAAATATAATCTTGATGGCATACATGTCATATTTATTTTTTCTAACACGATCTTTCTGTTCTATTTACATCAAGCATCATAGTATTTCCTCTATGGCGTCCCGTCGGTACATTTGTTCCATTCATGATTCCTGTTTGTCCACCTATGCTCCTTTCAAACTGCCCGTGGAATCGTCGATATATTGAACTATGTTTACCAAAGATACAACCAATCACTTTGCTTATAATACCAAGAAATTCTTTTCGATATACACTTCCAGATAAAGTAAATCTATATTTTCAAAAAAAAACAAAGATATTTACAGTACATTATTTTCAACACAATATATATGTAGATTACTTACATATAGAAACTTGTACTAGCATTAATATAGACAAATACTCTTAACAATATTGTTATAAAATTTTCAATTGCTACTTGAGTTGCTCC